TGCATTTGTTTGTAACAGGCAAAAGGAAACGAGATAGACCCATAGTTCCTTTTGATGATCTGCATAAAATCACATTCTGAGTCGATTTATGCATGTCCGTCCGTCCGCCTGTCCGTCCATCTGTACGTCCGTTTGTCCATCCGTCTGTCCATGTATTTTTGTAAACAAAGTACAGTTCGAATTTATTGTCCGATCCAGATGAAATGTTGTACAAATCATTTGTTTGGCCCAAGGACGAACCCTACTAAAATTGGAGATAATCGGTAAAAATTTAGATATAGCTCCCATATATAACTTCGTCCGATTTGCCTTTTATTGTGCACCCAACGTGTAATATCAGCCCGAATAGTATGGACATTTGCACATACAACCAAATTAGGCCTGTAAATATGTATGCCAAATTTGATCGAAATCGGTTCAGATATAGCTATAGCTCCCATATATATTGTTCAACCGATTTATTATTTTTGTCCTCCGCAGCCGTAATATGCAGTCTGTAACAACAATTTTTGGGGAAATTAATCAAATGCAGCTCAGAAATACCTTTGCTAAATTTTATGGAGATCGGTTCGGATTTGGATATAGCTCCCATATATAACTTCGTCCGATTTGCATTTTATTGTGCACCAAACGTATAATATTTGTCCAAATGGGATAAAATTTGTCACTTATGACCGAATTGAGTCTAGAAGCTAGTATGTGAAATTTAGTGAAGATCGGTTCAGATATAGCTATAGCTCCCATATATATTTTTCATCCGATTTGTAATTTTTGTCCTCCGCAGCCGTGATATGCATTCTGTAACAACAATATTTGGGGAAATATATCAAATACAGCTCAGAAATATCTTTGCCAAATTTTATCGAGATCGGTTCCGCTTTGGATATAGCTCCCATATATATCTTTATCCGATTTCAAATTAATTGTGCACCAAATGGGCAATACAAGTCCGAATTTAAGAGATACAAATGGTTTGGTGTATTTAGTCCTTTTAACTTTAAATCTATATCTATAAAAGAGGAAAATGTTTGTACGTTTGTTTGTTTGTTTGTTTGTTTGTTTGTTTGTTTGTAATTTATGGACTCGAAAACTGCTGAATAGATTTTTCTGAAAATTTCCATATATACTGCAACATCGCCTGAAAGTAACATAGGCTATATAAATTTTTGAATTTCCACTTGGAACTGGAGATATAGCATCAGAATCGGAGGTACCTCCCAAAAATTTAGATTTTATATGCACATATCTATTGATCGGTTAAAGATACAGTCTCCAAATTTGGAATGTGTAACGGAATTTGGAACAGAAATAAGTTTGCTAAATTATATTGTAATCGGTTCAGATTTGGATATAGCTCCCATATAAATTTTCGACCTATTTCGTTCATTTGATGCCTCAATCACAATATGAATGTTCGATTCCAATGAAATTTGGAATATGTGACGGGATTTGATCCGAAAATAAATTTGTCTAATTATATTGAAATCGGTTCAGATTTGGATATAGCTCCCATATATATTTTCGGCCGATTTCAAGCATTTGATGCACCAAACACGCTATGTATCCCCAATTTCAATGAAATTTGAAACGTGTGATAGATTTTATCTAAAAAAATTTATTTCCCAAATTATATTGAAATCGGTTCAGATTTGGATATAGCTCCCATATACATTTTCGGCCGATTTCATGTGATTGGTGGACCAAACAAGATATGTATGTCCAAATTTAATGAAATTTAAAATAAGTAACGGAATCGGGAACAAAAATGAATTTTTCAAATTATATTGAAATCGGTTCAGATTTGGATATAGCTCCCATATATATTTTCGACCGATTTCATGTATTTGATGCACCAAACACGCTATGTATCCCCAATTTCAATGAAATTTAAAATAAGTAACGGAATTGGGAGCCAGAATGAATTTGTCAAATTAAATTGAAATCGGTTCAGATTTGAATATAGCTCCCATATATATTTTCGACCGATTTCATGTATTTGATGCACCAAACACGCTATGTATCTCTAATTTCAATGAAATTTGGAATGTGTAGCGGAAATTAAAACAAATATACATTTGTCAAATTATATTAAAATCGGTTCAGATTTGGATATAGCTCTCATATATATTTTCGACCGATTTCAAGTATTTTATGCACCATACACGATATGTATGTTCGATTTCCAAGAATTTTGGAATATGTAACGGGATTTTGATTAGAAAATAAATTAGTCAAATTATATTAAAATCGGTTCAGATTTGGATATAGCTCCCATATATATTATCCGCCGATTTCACATATTTGATGCACATTTGACAAATTATATTCAAATACGCTCAGATGTGATTATAGCTCCATATATATACTCAGCCGATTTCACATATTTGATGCACCCAAAGCGAGAGAGACAAAATCTGGAACCAGCAAAAATTGCACAATTATATTGAAATAAGTTGAGGTTTGGATGTAGCTAACATATATATTTCGGCCGATTTCATACATATTATGCACCAAACACGATATATATGACCGATTCCAATGAAATTCAGAATGTGTGGCGGAATTTTGTTATAATATTAAATGTGATAAATTAATTGGAAATTAGTTAAGATTTGGATATAGCTCCCATATATATATTCTCGGCCGATTTCACATATTTGACGCACCAATTTCAATTAAATATGAAAGGTGTAGCGGAGTTTGGTATAAAAGTAATTTTTTTTAAATTATATTTAAATCGGATCAGATTGGGATATGATTTTAATAAGAACCATTGACCCACAACGCCTTAGGCTAACACTAAAAAACAACACAACAATTTATTTGAAATACGCTTATTACGGCGAAGTATGTTGCTATCTCGAATTCACTACTTGCAATAGAAATGCCACTCTACTTAAAAAAATTGCAGTTTCCTGCACGCTTGGTATTTGCAATGAAATAAATAAATCCAAAGGACAAACCCTTCGTGTATGCATGTCATGTTACTGCTTTTGTAATGATTTTGTTTATTAACGCATTAAATTAGTGCAATATTTTTTTTTAATTTTTAAATTTGTTTTTCTTTATCCAACATATATTCGTAAATAAAATTTTGAATGCATATAAAATCAAAAGGGGTAGCGAAGCGCACCGGGTTCAGCTAGTTATATTTATAATCATAGCTTCTATGATTGAATTCTCCCACAAAAACGTTTAATTGTTATGTGGAGCTCTACTAAATTAGCAAAGTGGTGGAGGGTATCATAAAGTCGGCCCCGCCCGACTTAAAGACTTTCTTTACTGGTTATTTTTTGAACGGTTTTAAAAATAAGATCAAGGCTTTCGAAAGAACCAAAACCATTTGGGCCTCGTTATTGTTTGGTTGAGACTATATAAAGAGGCCTCAACGAGAATTGGTATGAGAACCCAAAAATCCGTTTTGGGGATTTGATGAAAATATTGTGAATACCATTACTTTTTTTATTTTCCAACTTTCAAAGTTAGAATTTTGTTACCTCGCCTTTGTTTTGTACACGGCCTCGACCCCCTTTAGCATGGTTAATTTTGGGAATCTACGGGAGTTATCGGGTCCCAAATCCCCCAAAATTTGTCTGAAATCCGTCAACAGTCCGTTGGGTTATGTTTCTTTAAGTTTTCCCATTACAGTAGCCCACAAATTTTCTTTTCGATTAAGGTCTGTACTAGAAGATGGTCAATCCAGGATTTCAGTTTCTTTAAGCCACTTTTCCGTTTTCTTAGCAGTATGAGGAGAAGCAACATCCTCGCAGAATGATATCAGATTTTCCTTTAGGATTTTTATATATTTTTCCACTTTTACAAATGCATCCATGAATCGACCCCATACCATAACCCTAGATAGGTAGTTGAATGTGTTTTAAGCAGTCTTTGTTGTATGCCTAGTTGCTTGTGGAGTTGTGTAACTCCACCCTTTGTTTTTGTAGGCGGCCTCGACTCGCATGGTAATCACAGTCTTCGGGGGTCATCGAGTCTCAAATTTGCTAAATTTTTTGCATTCAACCTGTCAACAATTTGTTGGGTTCATTTCGAAGTTTTTTTTCATAAAAGCTCACAAATTTTAGATTGGACTAGAGGAGGCCAAACCAGGACCTTGATTTAATTTTCAGCGCACTTTTTTTCTATAAGTGTTTTCCCGAATTTGAGTCGGCAAACACTTTCCATTTGGGATATGCCATGTTACTGACGGTCTCGACCTCTTTACTTGGTCTGTTCCAGAACTGCAAGAATGTAAAAGTTTTTTTACTATGATAACCGATTTTTCGAGCCTTCCTCCATTAAGTCGTACTTTTATCACTTTTTATACCCTCCACCAGTATGTAGTATGAAGGGTATATTAAGTTTGTCATTCCGTTTGTAACACCTCGAAATATACATTTTAGACCCCACAAAGTCGACTTAGCGATGTCCGTCCGTCTATCCGTGGAAATCACTCTAGCTTCCGAACGACTTGAAGTAGATTGATAAAATTTTACTCAAATGTATGTTATGTCTGCAGAACTTTTGGTATTGAAAATGGGCCATGTAGGTCCACGTTTTGGTATAGCCCCCATATAACGGTACCTCCCGATATTCGGTATTTTGATGATTTTATCGACGCTTTTCACCGGAATTGTTTCAAATTTGGTATTTGATGTTCGTAATGGATGCTACAGCCTAAGACAGAAAATTGTCTGTGCAGGTCCACGCCTCCGTATAGCCCCCATATAACGGTACCTCCCGATATTCGGTATTTTGATTTTTTTCACCTGTGCAGATCCATGTCTTCATGTAGACCCCAATATAACAGCTACATTCGGAATTTTTAAGATCTTAACATAATTTTTTACGGATTTTATTGTTTTTGGCAATTGCCAGTTTCGTTAAAATGGTGGAGGGTATTCAAAGTTCGGCCCGGCCGAACTTACAACTTGTTTACATTAATTAATTTTTCTATTTCCAGATTTGTTTAATTCCATATTTTTTTCCACTCCTCTTTCCAGGTGGCCATGAATGCCAAGAACACCGTTTTTGATGCTAAACGTTTGATCGGCCGCAAGTTCGATGATCAAAAGATCCAAGAAGATATGAAACATTGGCCCTTCCAGGTGATCAACGACTGTGGCAAACCTAAAATTGAAGTTGAATTCAAGGGAGAACGCAAACGCTTTGCTCCCGAGGAAATCAGTTCCATGGTCTTGTCAAAAATGAAGGAAATTGCCGAAGTCTATTTGGGTGGTAAGGTGAGTGATGCTGTCATCACTGTGCCCGCCTATTTCAATGATTCGCAGCGTCAAGCCACCAAAGATGCTGGTTCGATTGCTGGCCTTAATGTTTTGCGTATCATCAACGAACCGACAGCTGCTGCCCTGGCCTATGGTTTGGATAAGAATTTGAAAGGAGAGAAAAATGTTTTGATTTTCGATTTGGGTGGTGGTACCTTTGATGTTTCCATTTTGACCATTGATGAAGGTTCTCTGTTCGAGGTGAAATCCACGGCGGGTGATACCCATTTGGGTGGTGAAGATTTTGATAATCGTTTGGTTAACTTCTTTGTGGAGGAATTTAAACGCAAACATAAACGTGATTTGTCCGGCAATGTAAGGGCCTTGAGACGTTTGCGCACTGCCTGTGAGAGGGCAAAACGTACCTTGTCTTCCAGCTCGGAGGCCTCCTTGGAAATTGATGCCTTGCATGAGGGCATTGATTTTTATTCGAAAATCACCAGGGCTCGTTTTGAAGAATTGAACATGGATTTGTTCCGTTCCACATTGGTGCCAGTGGAGAAGGCCTTGAATGATGCCAAAATGGATAAATCTTCAGTACATGATGTGGTTTTGGTTGGTGGTTCCACACGCATTCCCAAGATCCAGAAAATGTTGCAGGACTTTTTTGGAGGCAAACAGCTGAATTTATCCATTAATCCCGATGAGGCTGTGGCCTATGGTGCCGCTGTCCAAGCTGCCATTTTGACCGGTGTTGGCAGCTCCCAAATTCAGGATGTCTTGTTGGTCGATGTCACCCCCTTGTCGTTGGGCATTGAGACAGCCGGTGGTGTTATGACCAAACTGATTGAACGCAACGCACGCATTCCATGCAAACAGCAACAGACCTTCACCACATACAGTGACAATCAAAATGCCGTCACCATTCAGGTGTATGAAGGTGAAAGAGCCATGACCAAGGATAATAATCTGTTGGGCACCTTCAATCTAACCGGCATTCCACCAGCTCCCCGAGGTGTACCAAAAATTGAGGTAACCTTTGATTTGAATGCTGATGGCATCTTAAATGTGTCGGCCAAGGATAATAGCACTGGTAAATCGGAAAAGATAACCATTACCAATGATAAGGGACGTTTGTCCAAGGCCGACATTGATCGCATGTTAGCCGAGGCTGAGAAATACAAAGATGAAGATGAAAAACAGAGGCAAAGGGTCCAGGCACGCAACAATTTGGAATCGTACATTTTCAGCTGTAAACAGGTATGTAGCAGTTTCTAAGAGAAGTTTGAGTCGAATTTTTTCCATAAATACTTCTCCCTAATCTAATGGCACAGAAAAGCGCTTTACGCATTTATTATGATTTGCTTTTGACTATAACCCACTCCAATAAATCTCGCTCTAATACAGCTTTACTCACAATATATGCATTAGTGTGGTGAGAGACTCTCTTGCTCTGCCAAATCAATGGCAAATGAAATTTGAGAGAGAGAGAGAGTACGAGTGCTTTGTTTATACTTTCTTTAATTGCTCTTAATTTGTGATGTCATTTTTAATTTATTTTTGCTTTCCTTTCAGGCCGTTGAAGAAGCCCCTGCCGATAAGTTAACCGACTCCGATAAGGCCACAGTTCGTGACAAATGCTCGTCGGAAATGTCCTGGCTCGATAACAACACTTTGGCCGAGAAAGAAGAATTTGAGGATCACTTAAAGGATTGCCAACGTGTTTGCGGTCCAATTATGACAAAAATGCATGGTGGTGGTCCTTCAGCTGCCGGTGGTGCTGGCCAAGGTGGACAGGCTGGTCGTGGTGGTCCAACCGTTGAAGAAGTCGATTAAATTTAACTTCAAAATTGTTTAATATTTTTTTGTTTGTCTACAATATTATTTTTTTTTATAAATAAATTATATTAATAACAATCCTTTTTTTGTGATTTTTATAGCCTCAGCTACAGAGGGTTACAAAGGGTATGTATCATATCATCAAAGAGTATATATGATATCATATATAAGCTACAGAGGGTATATATCATTTGATACGGCCAAAACGTGCCTCATCGAAATAACGATTTTGGGCCCTAGGTCTCTTTGGACCAAATCCGTTTCAGGACATTTGAAGTCGATTTAGCGATGTCCTTCGGTTTGTCTGGCTGGTGCGCAAGACAACTCTCGAAGGGAGTATCCGATTTGATCCAAACTATGTACATCGTAATATTATTGTCAAACTTAGATCGAGTTGGGAGATGGGCAATATCGGTCCACTACTACACCCCCCCCCCTCCCCTCAAAAAATGTCAACATTTTCAAAAAAATTACTGCACATAAAGAGAAATGATAATCCGATTTGGCTTCAACTTTGCAAAATCTAATATTTGCATCAGTGCTAGGTCACGTGTGAAAATGGACAATATCGGTCTACTCCATCAAGTACCTGAAAGGGTCAACATTTTTTATAATTATAACTCTTTTAAAATGTGATGTAAAAGTCCGATTGTTTTAAAATTACACACATCACAATATTATTATTGAACCAAGGACTGATGTGAAGATTGAATATAGCGAACCACTCATTGTGGTACCTACCCCATAAGGGGTCACAATTTTGAATATTATGAAGCTCATAAAACACGAAATTAACACCCGATTCCATTCAGACTTGATACGTCTCAATATTTCCATCAACACAAGATCTGTTATAAAGATGGTAGAGATCGGACCATTCCTTCTGGTACCTTCTTTACAAAGGCTCAAAGTTTTGAATAACCAAAACGGTCATAAAATCGAAATAAACCTCTGGTTCTCTTCATATTGCTGACATCACAATATTTATTAACCCACGGTCTGGTACCTACCCCACAAGGGGTCACAATTTTGAATATTCATGAAGCTCATAAAACATGAAATTAACACCCGATTCCATTCAGACGTTGTACATCTCAATATTTCCATTTACACCAGATCTGTTATAAAGATGACAGAGGTTGGAGCATTTCTTCTGGTACCTCCCCCACATAGGGTTCAATGTTTTTGAAAACAAAACCCGCAAAATAAGCATCCGACTTCCTTAAAATTTCACATATCCAAATATTTTTGCTAACACAAGATCTGTTGTGAAGATGATATATCTGCCAACCCCTTGTGGTACCTCAACCACAAAGGGTCACAATTTCCAGTACTTTTATATGTCATAACTTGCGAAATAAGTCGGTGATTGCTATATCTAAATAGTTTACTTAATCAGATCGAAATTTATGATTTCGCATAAAAGTGGATATACAGGGTGAGATAAAAAACTGCTACAAAGTCAAACGCCATAATTTTTACATTTTTTTTTAAATTTTATTGAATGAAAGCAAAAAATGTCGGAAATAGCATCAAATTTAGAATAAGTTTAGATTTGTTTGAATTTGTCACCTTTGGCACGAATTATGGCCTTCAAACGGCCAATGAAACCGTCACACGCTGCCCGAATGTTGCGTTGTGGTATTTTTTGGCCCATTCCCGGCTAAGCGCTTGCTTGAGGTGATCGACACTTTGGTATTTTTTAGTGCCAACCTTGCTTCCCAAAATACACCAGACACATTAGTCCAACGGATCCGGAGATTTTGGTGGCCAATGTGTGCTAGAAATGATGCGAGGAACCTCATTTTGTAACCATTCTTAGGTGACGCGTGCTGAATGCGATGGTGCTGAGTTCTGTTGGAATATCCAAGGTCTGCGGCCAAAATGTTTGCGTGCCCAAGGCTTTAATACAACCTCCAGAATATTTTCGCGATAATATTCGGCATTTATTCTGATGCCACGGTCGATTAATACGAGCGGAGAGCGACCATCGGCTGTTATGGCGGCCCACACCATCAGCCTGGCCGGCGCTTGAGTTATGGTGGCCAACCGAAGGTGCATATTTTCAGCTGACCCCTTTGACAGGTAAACACAATCATTTTGTTTGTTTACAAACTGCTGGACAACGAATGTTTTCTCATCGTAGAAAACCAAATTCGGCAGTTCGCCACTTTTGGCCAAGCGATGGAACTCTTTACCTCGTTTGAATCTATTTTCTTTCTGTTGCGGTGTAAGTTCTTGCACTCTTTGGAATTTCAATGGCTTTACCGTGAGCTCATTTTTCAATATTTACCGAATGTTATATTGCGTTATGTTCAGCTCAGGAGCCATTTTTCGGCCACTGCGACGCGGGTTTCGATCAAGTCGCTTCTTTACTTTTCGAACCATTTCTGCTGATGGTGCTGTTTTCTTCCGTCCACTTCCTTGACCAATAACGAGCGATGGTACGAGACACAAAAGATTTATTCACATTTAAATGCTGAAGTGCTCTAACGATAGCCACTTGGGGGTTTAAAGCCAAATATAAAGAAATCACACTATCACGCTTGGATTCCATCACGAATAATTTTTTTTCAGGAAAATTCTCACCAAAATACTTTTGTACGCTTGTAAACAATATAATGAGCTGTCACTGGAATAATTTTAACAGCTGTCGGACGAGTGGTTTAGAAATGACAGCAGTATGAAGTTGATTGCAGTTTTTTTAGTCTCACCCTGTAATGTTAGTATACTTACACATTGAAATATACTTGTTTCGAAAAATGTTTTGACACGTTCTGATCCCAAATTATATAGACATCTACCAATAAAAGAGGGCCAGTAGACAGTAGTTGTATAGCCAAAGTGTAAAAGTAAAAAGTATGGCGTTTGTCTTTGTCGCAGTTTTTTTTTTTATCTCACCCTGTATATACCTTAATCACATTTATAAATTTCTGCATTTTTTTCCAGATCACCGAAACATTCTTCCTAAAGCGTCAGAACTTTATTTGCCGCCTAATTGCCGATTCAAAATATCTACAAACCTATATATTTATGATTTGCAGTGCCCTAATACTACAGGGCAAATATTTTTATGGCCTAAAAGGATTTTGGTTTTTACAACCAAATCCCAAAATTCCAGAAGTTGAGAATATGGAGCACACAACATGTCAACTACATCCCAAGATTAGCTGTCAACGTTATCTCGGCCATGGTATGAGAAAATATTGTTTTTTTCTTGGCCTAACATTGGATGTCATTAAGGCTATGCTGAGTTGCAGTTTGTTCATCTCAACCTGTACGCTCCCTCTCAATGCATTTAGTTTTTCTCTCTTCTGCTTCGTCTGTCATATCGGGGGTTTCACTTCTTGATTTTACGTCGTTTTCGTTTGCGCCCTCGTACCTTCTTCTTCTTGTTTTAATTGTTTAATTTTCCCAGCACCTCAATTTCGCCAAAAATATGTCGAAATACTTTGTACAACTAATTTTCCCTTGTCGTCTGGTGGGATTAAGTTTTCTCATTTGAGTATAGAGAAGGAAATCCTCTCTGGATTTCAAATGTTTGAAGCCATTCTTACAGTGTGGATTGGTTTTAGTTGCGGCGCTCTCCATCGACCGCTCTCAGACACTTTTTGGTGCTGGTGATGAGAACAAAGTTTTTGAGTTGCTTTTTTATGCGCGGGCCTCTTTATTTGTTCTACACAAAAACTGTCCTGCCTGAACCCCAAATGTTACTTTGAGTATTCAGGATTTCCCTCTGGATTTCAAATGGTTTGAAGCCATTCTCACAGTTTGGATTGTTCTTAGCTGCGGCGCTCTCCATAGACTGCTCTCAGAGTATTTTTGGTGCTTGTGATGAGAATAAAGTTTTGGAGTTGCTTTTTTATGCGAAGGCCTCTTTATTTGTTCTACACAAGAACTGTCCTGCCTGAACCCCAAATGTCACTAAAGAAATAATTTGCCCAGCCGGCGAGTATAATTCTCTGTGAATATCTAATCGCTAAATTGGTCAAACAATGCGTTCGCCTCAAAGTCAACAAATCGCTTTAAATGTGGCAGTGTGTTGAACCTAAAATAAATTTGTCGCGAATGGAATATTTTGGTTTTCAATTCTATCAATGCTCATTTCGAATTCGTTTCTATCCATTTGACAATGTAATTAATACAATTTAAGCTTCGCTTACTTTTTAATTCAGCTAATTTATTACAAAGCCTACAAAATACTTTGCCAGTTTGTGTGCTACCCTTGGTGGGTTCGGGAGTAATCGGGTGTCGTCTTCAAACGCCGCAATATGACAAGGTTCAGTAAAATATTTGTGGAGCTTATTGGTGCAAGAACCTGCCAAGAGTTGGCCATACATCCGGAGAGTTGTTTTGTTCATTGTCTCAAAGATATTCCGCTATATCTTTTGTCTAACTTCAAATATTTTGTTCCGATTTGTTTGGTAAGACTAACCAAAATGGGTTGGGGTATTGAGGAATGATAATCGAAATTTATTTTTTTTATTCTCTCCACCGGTTTTCCAGCTCCCACTGCTGATAAAATTACGTAGCCTTAATAAAAATAAACTACGTCACACGTTTAAATATTATGCCGAGTGTTCATTGGTTGGAGCAGCCTGCGGCTGTGGCATCAATGCGTTAATTTGTTTTTTAAGGTAATAATATATTTAATTATATTCGACCTTTAACATGATTGAAATTGAAAATGTTTTGTATAATTTTTGTATTTTCTTGTCTAATTTCAGATATATTTTTGGTCACTTTGGCTATACTACTATTGTCTACTGGCCCTCTGTTATTGGTGGATGTCTATATAATTTGGGTTCAGAACGTGTCAAAACATTTTTCGAAACAAGTGTATTTCAATGTGTAAGTATACTAACATTACAGGGTCAGATGAAAAAAACTGCAACCAATTTCAGACTTCTGTCACTTCTAAGCCACTCGTCCGACAGCTGTTAAAATTACTTCAGGAATAGCTCATTATATTGTTTACAAAAGCATTTTGGTGAGAATTTTCCAGAAAAAAGAGGTTATTCGCGATTGAATTCAAGCGTGACAGTGTCATTCCTTTATATTTGGCTGGAAAACCACAAGTGGCTATCGTTAGAGCACTCCAGCATTTAAATGTGAATAAATCTTCTGTGGTTCGTACCATCGCTCGTTACCGTGATACTGGTAACGTAGCACGACGTCAAGGAAGGGGACGAAAAAAACACAGCAACATCAGCAGAAATGGTTCGAAAAGTAAAAAAAAAAGCGACTTGATCGAAACCCGCGTCGCAGTGGCCGAAAAATGTTTAATGAGCTGAACATATCGCAATATTCCATTCGGCAAATATTGAAAAAATCAGCTCGGGGTAATTAAAATTCCAAAAAGTGCAAGAACTTACACCGCTACAGAAAGAAAATAGTCTCAAAAGAGCTAAAAAGTAGCTTCGCTTGACCGAAAGTGGTGAACTGCCAAATTTGGTTTTCTCCGATGAGAAAACATTCCTTGTTCGGCAGTTTGTAAACAATCAAAATGATCATGTTTACTTGCCAAAGAGGTCAGCTAAAAATGTGCACATTCGGTTGGCCACCAGGACTCAGGCGTCGGCCATGGTGATGGTGTGGGCCGCCATAACAGCCGATGGTGGCTCTCCGCTCGTATTAATCGACCGTGGCAACAGAATAAATGCCGAATATTATAACGAAAATAATCTGGAGGGTGTATTAAAGCCTTGGGCCAAAAGAGCTAGAGAATTGCTTCGCTTGGCGGAAAGTGGTGATCTGCCGAATTTGGGTTTCTCCGATGAGAAAACGTTCGTTGTCCGGCAGTTTGTAAACCAACAAAATTATCGTGTTTACTTGCCAAAGAGGTCCGCTGAAAATGTGCACCTTCGGTTGGCCACCAGAACTCAAGCATCGCCCATTGTGATAGTGTGGGCCGCCATAACCGCCGATGGTCGCTCTCCGCTCGTATTAATCGACCGTGGCATCAGAATAAATGCCGAATATTATTGGGAAAATATTCTGGAGGGTGTATTAAAGCCTTGGGCAGGCAAACATTTTGGCCGCAGACCTTGGACATTGCAACAGGACTCAACACCATCGCACTCAGCATGCGCCACCTAAGTTATGGTTACAAAATGAAGTTCCCCGCTTCATTTCCAGCGCACAATGGCCACCAAAATCTCCGGAAACCAATCCGTTGGACTATTGTGTCTGGAGTATTTTGGAAAGCAAGGTTGGCACTAAAAAATACCAACGTGTCGATCACCTCAAGCAAGCGCTTCGCCGGGAATGGGCCAAAATACCGCAGAGCAACATTCGGGTTTCATTGGCCTTTTGAAGGCCATAATTCGTGCCAAAGGTGACCATTTCGACAAAATCTAAACTTATTCTAAAATTTGATGCTATTTCCGACATTTTTTATATCCTACACCACAAGGTGATCAGGGTATTATGTCTTTGTGCATTTGTTTGTAACAGGCAAAGAGAAACGAGATAGACCCATAGTTCCTTTTGATGATCTGCATAGAATCACATTCTGAGTCGATTTATGCATGTCCGTCCGTTCGTCTGTCTGTCCTTGTATTTTTGTAAACAAAGTACAGTTCACATTTATTGCCCTATCCAGATGAAATTTTGCACAAATCATTTGTTTGACCCAAGGAAGAACCTTATTGAAATTGGAGATGATTGGTCAAATTTTAGATATAGCTCCCATATATATCTTCGACCGATTTGCCTTTTATTGTGCACCAAACGTGTAATATCAGCCGGAATAGTATGGAATTTTGCACATACACCCAAATTAGGTCTGAAAATATGTATGCTAAATTTGATCGAAATCGGTTCAGATATAGCTATAGCTCCCATATATATTGTTCATCCGATTTGTTATTTGTGTCTACCGCCGCCGTAATATGCACTCTGCAACAACAATATTTGGGGAAATATATCAAATGCAGTTCAGAAATACCTTTACTAAATTTTATCGAGATCGGTTCGGATTTGGATATATCTCCCATATATAACTTCGTCCGATTTACCTTTCATTGTGCACCAAACGTCTAATATTTGCCCAAATGGGATGGAATTTGGCACATACGACCGAATTGAATCCAGAAGCTAGTATGCCAAATTTGGTGAAGATCGGTTCAGATATAGCTATAGCTCCCATATATACTGTTCATCCGATTTGTTGTTTGTTTGTTACCCACAGCCGTAATATGCAGTCCGTAACAACGATATTCAGGGAAATATATCAAATACAGCTCAGAAATATATTTGCCAAATTTTATCAAGAACGGTTCAGATTTGGATATAACTCCCATATGTATCTTTATCGATTTCAAATTAATTTTGCACCAAATGGGCAATACAAGTCCGAATTTAAAAGATACAAATACTTCGGCATATTTTGTCCTTTGAACTTTAAATTATAATTATAATCATAGTGTGTATGATTGAATTCTCCCATAAAAACACTTAATTGTTATGTTGAGCTCTAATAAATTAGCAAAGTGGTGTAGGGTATCATAAAGTAGGCCCCGCCCGACTTTAGGACTTTCTTTACTGGTTGTTCATTCAATTAAATTTAAAAAAAATGTAAAAATTATGGCTTTTCACTTTGTTGCAGTTTTTTATCTTACCCTGTATGTACCTTAAACACATTTATAAATTCCTGAATTTTTTTTCCAGATCACCGAAACATTCTTCCTAAAGCGTCACAATTTTGTTAGCCACCTAATTGCCGATTCAAAATATCTACAAACCTATATATTTATGATTTGCAGTGCCCTAATACTGCAGGGCAAATATTTATATGGCCTTAAAGGATTTTGGTTTTTACAACCAAATCCCAAAATTCCAGAAGTTGAGAATACGGAGCACACAACATGTCAACTACATCCCAAGATTAGCTGTCAACGTTATCTCGGCCATGGTATGAGAAAATATTTTTTTCTTGGCCTAACATTAGATGTCATTAAGGCTATGTTGAGTAGAATTAGTAAAACCGATTCCGCCAAATTTAAAATTTTGTCAAAAATAAAAAACTTTCGTATACGTTCAACGGCCCTGCTAACAACCTATATTGGCATTTATAGGGTAAGTTTGAGGCTTCAAAGTCAATATAGATTTTCAGCTTACCTTCTCGTCTCTCTCTCTCTCTTTCGCTCTCTTCACAGTTTACCCATTGCTATTTAAATCGTCGTTTCCCGCATTTGAAGAACTTAAATCACATCATATCGGCCTTTCTAGCTGGCTTCTGTTACAATTTCTATCCTCAATTGAACATATTCAGCTATGCCTTGATTCAGGCCATCTTTACACTATGGAAAATTGTTAAAATCGAAAACTTCGATACCGACAATGAAATATTCAAATTTTTACAACGCATACCATTTGCTAGTCTGCTTTTTCCTTTTGCTTTAGGTAAACTGGTTCATTATGTTTGTTTGAAGCCGGAATACTGCAGTCCCTTGACATTTGCCATAACCAATGGTGTTACAAATAATTAGTAAGTTTTGTAATTTGGCGAATTATATCCGCGACATTAAAAATTTTCTTTCTTTCTATTCTCGTTTTAGTCCAAATGTCATAAAAAATGAACTGAAAGCGATCATACAAAAAGCCAAAGCCGAATGTAAATAAAGAATAGAAAATGTGTTAAAAACTTATTTTTGTTTTAAATGTTTTAAAAACTTGGTTTTGTTTCAGTACTTTTTTGAATAGTAAAAGATGCAAAAGAGAGACTTGTCAATTTTTTTTTGTCGAGTACTCACTTTCTACTACCGCAACAAACATGATAATGTCATACCTGACAAATAGATCACAATCGGTTTCTTTGGATAACAAGATATCCGGATCATTGTCGGTTAGTAGAGGCTCGATACTAGGACCACTACCCTTCTTAGTGCATGGCAATGATCTTCCACGTAACATAAAGGGTGAGGTAAAAACTAGTTAAAAAAACCGGGCCGAACTTTGAATACCCTCCACCATTTGGAACAAATTTGGAAATTTTCAAAAAATAAAATCCTTAAAAAATTCTGTTAAATTTTTTTAAAAATACCGAATATAAACATTATATTTTACGACGTGCACCTACATACGCATTGTTTGTCCTAAGCCGTTACCACATTCAAATTCGAAACTTGAAATAAACGGTGAATAACGTAGCTAAACTGATCAAAATATCGTATATAGGGAAGTACCGTTATATCGGAGCTGTGCGAAGACCTGGACCAGCATAGACAATTTTCTGTCACAGGCTGTAGCATCCATTACGAACTTCAAATACGACATCTCAAACAATTTCGGTGGGTTTTGTACCTAAACTCGTCAAAATACCGAAAATGGAGCCTAAACGAAGACCATAGATAATTTCACAGACTGTAGATCCCATTACGAATTCTAAAAACGTAATTTGAAACAATTCCGGTGAACAATGACGATAAAATCATCGAAATACCGAATGTTGGGAGGTACTGATATATGGGGCCTATACGAAGACCTGAACCTGCACAGATAATTTTCTGTCACAGACTGTAGTTCCAATTACGAACTTCAAATACCAAATTTGAAATAATTCCGTTGAATAATGTCGCTGAAATCATCATAATACCGAATATAGGGAGGTACCGTTATGTGGAGGCTATACGAAGACGGGGACCTGTACAGATAATTTTCTGTCTTAGGCTGTAGCACACATTACGAACTTCAAATACCAAATTTGAAACAATTCCGGTGAATAATGTCGCTAAAATCATCAAAATACTGAATATCGGGAGGTACCGGTATATGGGGCTATACGAAAACGGGGATTGTGTTTACTTTCCAAAGACGTCAGCTGAAAATGTGCACCTTCGGTTGGCCACCTGAACTCAAGCGTCTGTCATGGTGATGGTGTGGGCCGAATATTATCGCGAAAATATTCTGGAGGGTGTATTAAAGCTTTGGCCATGCAAACATTTTGGCCGCAGATCTTGGACATTTCAACAGGACTCAGCACCATCGTACTCAGAACGCGCCACCCAAGAATGGTTACAAAATAAGGTTCCTCGCTTCATTTCCAGCTGACAATGACTACAAAAATCTCCGGATACCAATCCGTTGGACTATTGTGTCTGGAGTATTTTGGAAACAAGGTTGGCTCAAAAAAATACCAAAGTGCCGATCACCTCAAGCAAGCGGACAAAAAACGACAGAGCAACATTCAAGCAGCGTGTGACGGTTTCATTGGCCACAAGTCGTGCCAAAAGTGACCAATTCGAACCAATATCAACATATTCTAAAATTTGATGCTATTTATTTTTTATCTCTCCCAGTATGTATAACGATACATACCGATATTCGGTATTTTGATAATCCTAGTTACATTTACCCACAAAGATGGTACTGAAGAAGTTTTGGTAGATGACAATCCTTGAAGTATAATATCGTCTATAGAGGTTCCCTTTTTGGTATGGCCTCCATATAACGGCCTCGCCAACTTTATGGTTTTTTGAAAAGTTCAACAGCATTATCCAAACGGCTTAACTGATGTTTGTAGTTTAAAGTAGAACACATTTGAATTCAGATACTTTTATATAAAATTTTTTTCTTTACCCAAAGGTGGAGGGTATTAAAAGAATTCTGAAACCTTATATCTCTTCAAACGATTAATAAGTAAAAAGCATGCACCGGCGTCTACAAGCGGTAATTGAAGGACCTACAATGAATTAATATAACTTATTTTAATACTTCCAATTTTTTACGTAGAATTATTCGATGAGAATTAATTAGTTTTTAATTATTTTTGTTGTTTATTCATAAAAGTAACGCTATATTTTTAAAAAATGTATGACCATGTGTTTCCAAAAATACTTTAAATATAATGTGTATGCTTAAATACAGTTTTATTTAAAAAAAACAACGAATTTTTTATTGGCACATTTTACAAGAAATAAATTATCGCTTACTTCCGAAAAATTAAGAAACTAAAGTCATTTCAAATAAGCATTCCCATCTCTGCATTTCTGTAATTTACCTTGTCTCATGGTACAATGAAGAGAAGGTAGGTCAACTTTAAAAAAAATGCAAGTATAGAGGTCTACCTGTTTGGCTTGTAATGTCAGAATTAGTATCAAAACAATAAAAAATCAAACAACTGGTTGCATTAATTTTGAACAAATAATTGAAAACCGCGAAAACTGAATGAAAGGTCAACATTTCTTTTCAAAATCATGTTCTATATATCTCTTATGGTTTATTTCGTGACATAAACTGTAGACTTTGTCGATGCATATGTTGCAATAAGCATTTTGAAAACACCCGAATTTGAATATTTTCTGAACAATTGTTTTATTATTGAAAAGAATATGCACACATAAACAAATGAAGTTGACATATTAAGCCAGAAAAATAAAAAATTTGAAATCATATGGTAGTTCTGCCCATGGTACAATGAATTCAAGGTAGGGCAGAACTACCATATGATTTAAATTTTTTCATTTTTCTGGCTTAATATGTCAACTTTATTTGCTTATGTGTGTGTCTTCTTTTCAATAATAAAAAAATTGTTCAGAAAATATTCAAATTCGGTTGTTTTCAAAATGCTTATTGGAACGTATGCATCGACAAAGTCTACAGTTTTTGTCGCGAAATAAACCATAAGAGATATATAGAATATGATTTTGAAAAGAAATTTTGAACTATCATTCAGTTTTCGCGGTTTTAAATTATTTATTCAAAATCAATGCAACAAGTTGTTTGATTTTTTATTGTTTTGATACTATTTCTGACATTACAAGCCAAACAGGTAGACCTCTATACTTGCAATTTTTTCAAAGTTGACCTACCTTCTCTTCATTGTACCATGGTTCTGCCCTACCTTGAATTTATTGTACCATGCCTTGTCTAATTTCACTGCATAGAAAGCAGGTTCCCATCTCTGATTTGTGTATGTACCATGGATGTATGCATGGTACAATGAAGAGAAGGTAGGTCAACTTTGTAAAAATTGCAAGTACAGAGGTCTACCTGTTTGGCTTGTAATGTCAGAATTACTATCAAAACAATCGAAAAACCAAACAACTTGTTGCATTTATTTTGAATAAATAATTGAAAACCGCGATAACTGAATGAAAGGTCAACACTTCTTTTCAAAATAATGTACTATATATCTCTAAAGGATTATTTCGCTACAAAAACTCTAGATTTTGTCGATGCATACGATGAAATAAACATTTTGAGAACATCCGAATTTGAATGTTTTCTGAACAATTTTTTTGTTATTGAAAAGAAAACACATACATAAACAAAACACTTGGGTCCCACTGTTCTTGGCACTGTCACATGTCAAAATAAAGAAACAACATTTTCGCATAACAGCTGATTTACAATCTTCCATGTCTCATTCGTAAACTCGGCACTACGTTTCACACCTGCATCTTCACTTGATTTCATTTTGTTCTTTATTTTCATCGAACATACGTTAGTGTCAGTTTCTTCGTATCGTTTGGAAATCATATGTTTTCGCGTAATCACCCGCCGCAAAACGAAACAGACGGTTCCTGAGGAATATAAATAATTTTAATAATTAATAATTGTTGAACCAATTAAAAATAAATAAATTTAAAGCAGATATGAAGCCACCAAAGCCAAATCCAAGTTTTGTATCCCGCAATTTGGTCACAATTGTAATGGTGCCAACGATCATTGCTGCGCATTTGGGCTGGAATGCCATGCAAAACAACCGGTCTCTGGTGCAGGAACATGAACAAATTGATTTGCCCGTGGTGACAGTAAGTAACGATTGAAATGGACATTTCATAAGGGAAAAATAGATGAATAGGATTATTATGGGTAGTTTACTACGGAAACAAAAAATTCATTAAAATGACGCAAGTAAAAAATGTTGGAATTCTGCAGTGTTATGGCAACCTGAAAAGAAGACTGATTGTTTAACTCTAGTTTAGCGAAAAATTTTCGATTTTTTTCAAATTTTTTCCAGATCCCTGATCCCGGGAAACTATTTTTTTTTTTCTTGGAGACGGATCCGGGACCCAGGTTTTTATTTTTTATTTGAAATTTATTGATCTAACTTGACAAGGGCCTACTGGTTAATTTGCCCTGACTGAATGTTCAACTCTAGTTTAGTAAATATTTTTCGATTTTTTTTCCAAATTTGTTTTCCAGACGTAGGCATTTTTATCCTGATTCCGGGAAACTATTTTTTTTTGGAGACGGATCCTAGACCCCAGTTTTTTGATCCAAAAGTCCGGGTTCAAGACCCGGATCCACTTACCCGATATAGACAATATAGGTATAATTGAAATCTTATGAAAATACATATCCAACAATTCAAATGGCCACTTTTTTAACCGCTTCGGAAGATATAGTCAAATTATCAATTTTTTGGCACGGATTTTTTATAAACCCCCCATAAAGTAGAAAAAGGCCCTATTATGGGGGTCAACCAAATTATTGCTAACACTGTTACCTTTCCTAATTAATTGGATGTCTTGTGATCCTAATCTACATGCGACCCAATTAGAATTGAGCCAGATGAATCCTCCAGATCTTTGCTAAGTCGAAAATATTCGAGTTTTCCTTGACCGATGTCGATATTTTACTCCGATGAAAAGTCTTGCAGTGATGAGTTAAAAATGTATTGATCTATCGCCTAAGCGTCTCCATCACCTTCTTGATTGGGCTGTTGATTTCACATTCCTATATAAATCATGAACGTTTCTCTTGAGATGCCCGTGTGCAGAAATCCTATACATAAGGCAATAGTGACAAGGGCCAACTGGTTAATTTGCCCTAAGAAATAACAATCAAAAGTAATAATGTCAAAAAAAAATCAAATTAGCAAGACGGAAACTGGTAATATTTTATACTCGACCAAATTTGTAAATTAGAATAAAATAGTAGATTATTACAGGAATAGGTATATGATCATCATATTAAAAGACAAAGCAAACGAAAACAAAATATGAGCCTGGCGAGGATTTGAATTCGATTCTCATATTTCTGATACTGCAGCAATGAATCAAAATTACCAACACCACTCTTAGTACTCAACTACTAAGTGAGAGAAGGCAATATGGTCTCAGATAACTTTTTAATCCATCAGTCACATCACTACCCATTACATTACTGTGGCCTGTGAGCCATCAAAGCTTAATTCTCAAGAGGAATAAATTGATATTCTGGGGAAAGACAGAAATTTATTTTTTTTTTTTTAAATAATTTTTCGGAATTGCATTTCCATCAAATTTGAGATGTTAAATATAGTTTCCATCCCATACTTATGTATTTTAGAAATATATCTAAAGCTACTGGTAAAGCTTAAAACATATTTAACGTCAATTTTTTTGTTTGCAGTTTGCCAAGTTCGTATGGAGGAAGATAAATGGCGCGGAGGAGACGGCCACCAAAAAGGAATAGTTGTGAACGTTGAAATGAATTTAGCTTTTAAGTTTGTTATGTATTTAATTTGGCAAATGTAAATAAATTATTTATGTCCTAATAGCATAATAAATTGTAATTTGTATTATAAATGCGTTTCACTGAATCCAAAATTTATATAATTAAATAGTTTTAATAAAAGTACGAGAATTGTTTCACCATATACGACGAATTTATGTGAATTTTTTAGCTGTTCTTTTCAATCAAATATGAATTCGTGATTGCTTCTGATATTTTTTTATGACTAGTAGAAAATTAAAAGAAACAATTTCGAACTAATATCTGTAATCCTATTAAGGTTGTCATGCAACAAAAAAAAATGACGCAAATCCAAAAAAGTCTTGGGTTGAATACTTGTTCTAAACAACTTGCGCTTAACTGTGATATTCAATATTTTGTTGTTTCTACGAAAAAAAAAAAAAACAAAACTTAAAAAACAAGTAAAAAAGCTGTAAGTTCGGCCAGACCGAACTTTGAATACACTCCACCATTTGCAATGAATTTGGCACTTTCCACAAAAATAAAAACCGTTAAAAATTCTGTTAAAATCTTAAAAATACTGACTGCGCCGACGTGGACCTGCATAAGCAATTTTGTCATAAGCCACAATATTCAAATGCGAAAATTGAAAAATAAAAAATAGGTGAATGATGCAGCTAAAATCATCAAAATACCGAATAAAGGAAGGTACCATTATATGGGGGCTATACCAAAACGTGGACCTGCACAGACAATTTTCTGTCATAGGCTGTAGTATTCATTACGAATTTCAAATGCCAAATTTGAAACAATTTTGGTGGATAATGTCGCTAAAATCTTCAAAATTCCGAATATCGGGAGGTACCGTTATATGGGGGATATACGAAGACGGGGACCTGCACAGACAATTTTCTATCATAGGCTGTAGTATCCATTACGAACTTCAAATGCCAAATTTTGAAACAATTTTGGTGGATAATGTCGCTAAAATCTTCAAAATTCCGAATATCGGGAGGTACCGTTATATGGGGGATATACGAAGACGGGGACCTGCACAGACAATTTTCTATCATAGGCTGTAGTATCCATTACGAACTTCAAATGCCAAATTTTGAAACAATTCCGGTAAATAATGTCGCTAAAATCTTAAAAATTCCGAACATCGGGAGGTGAAGTTATATGGGGGCTATACGAAGACGGGGACCTGCACAGACAATTTTCTGTCTAAGGTTGTAGTATCCATTACGAACTTCAAATACCAAATTTGAACCAATTCCGGTGAATAATGTCGCTAAAATCTTCCAAATATCGAATATCGGGAGGTACCGTTATGTGGGGGCTATACGAAGACGTGGACCTGCACAGACAATTTTCTATCATAGGCTGTAGTATCCATTACGAACTTCAAATGCCAAATTTGAAACAATTCCGGTGAATAAAGTCGCTAGAATCATCCAAATACCGAATATCGGGAGGTGCCGTTATATGGGGGCTATACGACGGGGACCTGCAAGGACAATTTTCTGTCTTAGGCTGCAGTATCCACTGCGAACTTCAAATACCAAATTTGAAACATTTCCGGTGAATAATGACGCTAAAATCATCAAAATACCGAATATCGGGAGGTACCGTTATATGGGGGCTATACGAAGACGTGGACCTACATGGCCCATTTTCAATACCAAAAGTCCTGTGGACATAATATACATTTGAGTAAAATTTCATCAACCTACTTCATTTCGTTCGGAAGCTCGAGTGATTTCCAATGACGACAGACGAACGGGCATGGCTAAATCGACAGAGAATTTCGAGCTGCTTAAGAATATATATACTTTGTGGGGTCTAAAATTTATATTTCAAGTTGTTACAAACGGAATAACAAACTAAGTATACCCTCCATACTATGGTGGAGGGTATAAAAATAAAAAATAAACATCTTTCCATAAATACTATTTTGATTTATTAAATATATGTATGTATGTGTGTATAATTTAAATGTACATTTACAAATTAACTTATCGTATGATAATTTTTAAAAATATTTGATATTTATATTTTAAAAAAAAATATCTGCATATATTTAATATTGAACCTACTGATTTATGACAAATTACAATATACAATGTAAGGTTATGTGTGCGTAGTACATACACACAAATAAGTATGTGTTGCTAAATATCGTTTAAGTATGTATGCATGTCAAAAATATTGAACGAAATTGAAATTGAAAAAGATATATATATATATAACAAATGGTTATGAATCGAAAAGTGTTGGATGTGGGGACAAATTTTTACATTCTCCATCGAAAAAAATCAATCGATATGAACTGTTGTATGGTAACTTTGAATTTATAAATGGTCTGTTCCAGAGCTGCAATTTTCAAAACTAGCAGGTTGGGAAAAAGAGCTAAAATGTGAAATTTGGTAGAAACAATTTGTTTTCATTCAATATTTAGTCGTTTCTACTGAAATTTTCAATTTAATGAAACTAAGATTGACATATTAAAATTCAATTGGATCGAATTTTTTTCGATATCATATGACAAGCTTTGACCCCTGTATCGCTTGGTTGAATGTCTGTAAAATTAGATTTTCTTACTATTGCATACAAATTAATTCTTGTATTTTTTTTTTTTTTAATATCGAAGACTTAACATGACGTTTAGAACACAACGAACTACTTAAAAATAAAACATTTTTATACGACAAATGTTTGTTTGTTTTTCTTTAATAATATCTATATACAAAATACTTATTATTATTTATTGATAGCTTACTTTAATCTAAATTGAAAGTTAAAATCTTAAAACGTTATTTGTTTGTGTGTGAAGACATATCTCATGTTAAAAGTTTTAATTTTTACCATCTATATAATAATTTGTAAAGAGACATCAATTACATATGCACGTATATAAAATTGTTATATACTATATATTATAGAAATACATATATGATATTTATGGTATAATTTATTACTAACATAGATTCGTTGGAGATTTGTTGCGAGACACAACGATGAGTACTACGAAGCCTGGTTCCTGTGTTTTGGGTGGTGTACAAAAATTTGCAAAAGAAGCAACTGCAATTAAAGGGAACGTACAATAAAAAGTTAATAATTTGCTATTATGAGAAAGCGTAAAAATGGCATAGCTAAATTCTGCCACAACATAATTGATGTCCTATTCAAAAGATTTAAAAACCTCTCAAAAAAATAAATAAATAAAACTAGGAAAAAAATTTAAAGGAAACTATGACAAAGTCACTATACAGAGTGAGACGAAAAAACTGCAACCAAATTCAGACTACTGACATTTCTAAGCCACTCGTCCAACAGCTGTTAAAAATATTCCAGTGACAGCTCATTGTACCGTTTACAAGCGTACAAAATCATTTTGGTGAGAATTTTCCAGAGAGAAGTTAATTGTGATGGAATTCGAGCGTGATAATGTGATTTCTTTATATTTGGCTAAAAACCCGCAAGTGGCTATCGTTAGAGCACTCCAGCATTTAAATGTGAATAAATCTTTTGTGTCTCGTATCATCGCTCTTTACCGTGATACTGGTAGCGTAACCCGACGTCAAGGAAGTGGACGGAAGAAAACAGCAACCTCAGCAGAAATTGATCGAAAAGTAAAGAAGCGACTTGAAGCGAAACCCGCGTCGCAGTTGCCAAAAAAATGGCTCGTGAGCTCAACATTTTGCAATTTTCCATTCGGCAAATATTGAAAAGTGAGCTTGTCAAAGAGTCAGCTGAAAATGTACACCTTTGGTTGGCCACCAGAACTCCAGCGCCGGCCATGGTGATGGTGTGGGCCGCCGATGATCGCTCTCTGATCGTATCAATCGACCGTGACATCAGAATATATGCCGAATGTTATCTCGAAAATATTCTGGAGTATGTATGAAACCCTTGGGCACGCAAACATTTTGGCTGCAGACCTTGGACATTCCAACAGAACTCAGCACCATCGCACTCAGCTCGCGCCACCCAAGAATGGTTACAAAATGAGGTTCCTCGTTTCATTTCCAGCACACAATGGCCACCAAAATCTCCGGATACCAATCCGTTGGACTATTGTGTCTGGAGTATTTCGGGAAGCAAGGTTGGCACTAAAAAATACCCAAGTGTCGATCACCTCAAGCAAGCGCTTCGCCGGGAATGGGCCAAAGTATTGCAGAGCAACATTCGGGCAGCGTGTGATGGTTTCATTGGCCGTTTTTTTTTTTCATAATTCGTGCCAAAGGTAACCAATTCGAACAAATCTAAAGTTATTCTAAAATTTGAAGCTATTTCCAAAATTAGTTGCTTTGATTATGGCTTTTGACTTTGCTGCAGTTTGTTTATCTCACCCTGTACATGTCATATGTAAAGTGGTTTTTTCCACAAGTTTTTAGGTCGTGGGTCTCTTTGGACGAAATCCGCTTCTGGACATTTGGAGTCGATCTAGCTATGATCGCCAACCCGTAATATTTTTACCAAACTTTGGGTTTTAGATGCGCGGCTACACGGGAGTTGACGGGTGTCTCTCTCAAAGACTTTTGGTCCTTTTTTGTTAATCCTAGGTAGAAATGTGTTAGAAGTGAGGTAGTGTGACTAGCCTATGATATGGGCAAACCTGTGGAAAAAAATTATAAACCTGCCGCTAGCCACCCACAGCGTTCCCGAAGCCGGGAAAGTGGGTCGGGTGGTCCCGCTAATAGAGCTTCATAATAGTCAAGGACTAAACCAAAACAAGCCGTCTCATAGAACACTTTTGGTAGCCCTTGACTTATCAAAGACATTTTACAATAATGTTCAATAATGTTATATGTGTGGCATTGAGGTCGTAACTTTTGCGGATGTTTACACGAACATTGCGTGGTGAACACTTAACTCGCTGTGCTTGCTGTCTTCTTCTACTCGAGAAATGTAAAAATATCCGCCACTAAGTCAACAACTACAGTCTTAATCACATGATCTGCGGAGATGAGAGAAATTTGAGGTTAAGGGGAAATAGAACAGTGTGGCTTGTTTGTTCGGGATACCGTAGTATTTTGTTGTTGCAAAATGGTCAGGCTTATCCCTTTATTGTTGTTTTTATAAAAACAACGTTTGTTTATTAGTGGAGAACGATGGTAATGTTTACCAGGGGGTTAGGCAGGGAATACCTAGGTTTCGGAAAGAGCCACCAATCCTCATCAGTTCCCTTGTTTTTTGTCTGGGATATTCTCCCCAGAAGTTATTTTAAAAAATAACTTCTATGACAAAAAAACATTTTTTACCCAAGTGACGAGATCGTAAGAAGAGGAACCAAAGAATTAAATAAAACTAAAATTCTTTTGGAAAGTCTTCTAAATCTTACAACCGCACTTATAAACATTTACATCTTTCTCCACTTGTTATGCTTTCGTTCAACCTGAACGAAGTAGCATAACCATGTTAAGGAGAAATTTAATTTCGACCACGAACTACCCCAGAACTTGGGTTTTGGACAAGGGGGTTGCAGGTTGCAACGAACTACCTCAGATTCTAGAGTTTATATTCGACAGCATGTTAAAGTCTGAAAAGTAGGAACAAGTTTCTCAAGAACTTGGGGTTTGGCCAGCTATGTGGCCATACTGTGGTCTGCGAATACAAGTGCTATGCATAAGAAGAATATTGCTGCCTTGAGACAACATGAGATGGCTCCTCATGACACCAGCGGACCATGTACATTAGGAAGCAAATATCGTTCCCGTACGTCACCTTAATCATATGCATTCGCGGCATCAATCCAAACCATAATAATTTAGTTAAAACTTCCTCTCGGTGCTTGTCAGAAAGGACCTAGACGGTCTACAGCGTTATAAGAAAGAGCCCCTAAATCAAAAAATTTATATTTTATCCCAGTCGCATTCATACTGCATTCACATTTGTCATCAGAAACTACAGTATGAATTCCGTCCTCAATCCAATAGGAACCTTCTCAAGCTAATTCATCAGTAATTTCATTCACTCACTATGTTACTATGTCCTGGCTCCCGACAAAGCTTAATGAATTCGCGTATTTCAATGAAACGAAATATGAAAACGTGGACCGACATAGAATGGAGGAGGGTATAAAAACAAAGGAGATATCCAATTTCGTCCAGCTATTGAAATTGTTTTTTTACATATCACTCTATCATGTGTTCCCTGGCCCTTATTAGTCTTTAAATTTAAAAATTATGAGCGCCTTAAAGTATGCTTTAAAATTGACAATTTAAAACCTCAAACAAATTTAAAAATCAACAAAAAATATTACCTTAAATTAGCGGGCGCATTACAATCCCTATTCGAATCTCTTTCATTCCAAATAAAATTTCCTACAATTCCTCGAAAATTCAAACGCCCGATGTTAGACAGTAGTGACTAAACCATTCCAAGAGTGACAAGGAAGTTGTTGTTGGTGTTGTGGCCGCAGCATCATCCTGCTGCTGTTGTTGTTGTGTAGTTGGCACCCCTTGTTGTTGTCGATTATTGCCGTTGTTCTTGTCTCGTTGTTGTTGCTGCTGCTTTTGCGGTTTTTGTTGATGTTTTGCTGTTCCTCCCAATGCCGCCGGCTTCATTTCCTACTGTGACAAATGCGAGTTAACACTCAAATTATCCAATTGGCCATTGAACAAGACATCGCTTATCAACTTCTCGGCTATGATACGCTGATGGGTATTCATGACACGCAACTTGCTGGCCACATTGATGCCAATCGCATCGAACTCATCCTCGCTGCGTCCATTGCCGCCAACACCACCACCGCCGCCGCCAGCCGTTGTCGTTGTTGTGTACGCCGTGGCTGAGCCGAACAATGGTTGCAGGTGTTCGCGCGCAATTTGTATGGTCGGCACTTGCTGATGGAGTTGCGTCAGTTGTGCTGTGGCGGCACCGTTCGCCTGCTGTTGTTGCTGCTGCTGGAGTTGTTGTTGGATTTGATGTTGCTGTTCCAACGAATTGACGGCCTGTTGGATTTCACGTTGGGAATTCGAGTCGAGCGATGTAATTTCGAGCACCTTAACGGCCGTTGTATGTTGTGGTTGGGTTTGAGCGTGCAACTGTTGGGCGGTAGCATGATGATGATGGTGGTGATGTTGCTGTTGCTGCTGATGGTGGTGCAGCGGCGGTGGTTCATGTTGCACATGCTGTTGTTGATGGTGGTGCATTTTGTGATCTTCACTCTTGACAATGGAGACGGGTACTACCTCACCGTTACTGGTGGAGACGGTTGTTATAGTGGTGGTCATGTTGGGATCCTGCTGTAAATCTGTCTGCGAGGCCGAATGGGCACTGCCAGCCTCCATATGCTGTTCATCTTCGAATTCCAGAGAATCATCATCTTCAAAGGCCAATGTCAGCGAACGTTTGGCCACCTTAACATCCGGGCCACTGGCCCCACCAATAGAGGTAATCGCGCGCTTCAGCCCCTGGTCGGCAATGAATGACAACTTGTCGTAATACCACAATCGCGTCTCATAGTTTTGTTTGGAGTGCATTTTCCGATATTCACGACGAAATGCGGAACGCAGCGAGTTTATCTTACGCACCACCATGTTACGGTCTGGGTTCGGTTCGACCTCCTTGAGTTTTTCCACCAATTTATCGTATGCCTTGTTGCGTACTGTGTTGTTGCTGTAGTCGGGATGTTTTGGCTGCCACAAACATTCCTCGGTCTGGTATTGTTCAATGAATTCGCCCAGCCAGTGGCGGGAATAACTTCGCAAATCATTCAATTGACTTACATTTGCCATTTCCCAGGAAATTTTGTTGGCTGGTTAGGAGATGAAGTGGTAATAAAATCGAGTAGTTTGGCTGGCCAATAATAGGCTGCCGACAATTTTTTCGCTCGTTCGGTCGCACACACACTTTTTCACTGGGGTTCGTTCGTTTGGCTGGCTGGCTGCTTGCCTTATTTTGTGTTGTTGCCTGGTTGGTTGGCTGTTGTTTGCAGCTTGTTCTTCTTCTTCTTGTCTATGCTTGCGCGTTCCACCACGACCGATTTTTTGTTCTCAATTTTCCTCTCGTCTCTTGTTGTTCTATACAACACAAAACAAGCCAATAACACAACACCAGCAACAACAACCAACACAGAATAAAGAAAAGAAACTGAAAGATGCTCTCTTTTACTTCCTTTTGTTCTATAACACAATCTCTAATTTTAGTCGACTTAAATATGTGCACTTCACTCAACAAATTTGGCCGTAAGATTTACACATTTTTATTTTTGATTTATTTCAATGTATTTTGTTATATTTTTGCATTTTTTAGTTGTTTCTTTATTTTTGTTCGTTCATCGACTCAAACGTGTCGTGTGTTCGCGTCGTTTTTTACATTAGGGGTATGTAGATCGACAAAGACATTGTATGACTTCGAGGTTAGAGAGACCTAAATAGTCAAAAGGAGAAGTTATCGTTTTTTGTTATCGACTTTTTTGAGGGGAAAGTTTTCAAGGCATTTTTTATGAAAAATATTGGTTTTCTTTTTATAATTAAAAATGAAAGTATGAAAAGACTTTGTATTTACGAGAATTTAATAAATATATATGATAAAAATAAATTATAATTCCCCCAAAAATCCTCGAATCTTTAACATAAAGTATTTTGTGGCAATGCAAGTGTTGTACGATAACATCACAGACATTCATCGATAGCGTTGTTGTTGTTACTAAATTGAAATGCAAATAAATGTTCAAATTTCGTAAAAAAATAAAAAAACTAATAGATTCTTGAATTAGAACAAATTGGTCTGTTCCAGAAATGCAAGAATGCTAAAGTTTTTACAACGATAATTGATTTTTCCTTCATAATATCGAAAACAAATTGTAAACTTCAAAAACTAGTAGATTCTTCCCAAAATGTTTGTGTAATGTCAAATATTTTCCAGAACTGCAAGTATGTTCAAATTTTTACTACGATAACCTTTAATACCGAGCAACAATTGCTCTGTACCAGAGCCTGCCAGATTCTACTAGTCTTACAATTTTTTCCGATAACATAAAGGGAAAATGGGTTATCGTTGTAAAAACTTTTACATTCTTGCAGTTCCGAAACAGACCATGAAAAAGCAGTCGAACTTTTTATACCCTCCACGTAGACCTTTATAGACAATCCTCTCGTAAGGGGTAAAGTACCCAAAGGGTACACCTTGTGTGGATTTGCAGACAATTCCATTGAAAAATATGTTTAAAATCTTCGAAATACCGAATATCATGGACCGATATATCCCATCTTCGAACTTGACCTGCCTGCACACAAAAGAAAAAGAATATCTTTATTCGTTACGACTCTAGCGCGATTACAACAGACGGACAGGGTTAAATCATTTTACGCTGATCAAGAATATATCTACTTTGTTCGATGACTTTCAAACCGATTCGATGGCTTTCAAACCGAATGACGAACTTAATATATGTTCTGTTCCAGAACCTGCAAGAATTTACTAGTTTTGAATTTTTTTTCGATATCATAAAGAGAAAATCGATTATCGTAGTAAAAACTTCTATATTTTTGCAGTTCTGGAACAGACCAATAGCCTCCATACAATTGGTTTGTTCCAGAACTACAAGAATGTAAAAGTTTTCACTACGATAACCGATTTTCCCTTTATGGTATCGAAAAAAATTGGTGGAAGGTATAAAAATTTGAAAAATTAGTAGATTCTTGCAGTTTCTAGAAAAGGGCAATTCTTGCAGTTCAGGAGTAGAGCAAAATTAAATTCGATAGATATATTTTAGATATTGAGGCCAGACGTTGGCCCCATGAGAGCATATATCTAATCGTTCCCATTTTTCTAATTTCGTACAAATTTATAAAAAAACAACTGCTTTCCTTATTTTCTTCAATAAATTACAATAATTTTATTTATTTCTGTTCCTTGGTCTCGTAATAAATGTAAATTAAAAACCAACTGAAAAGTAGTATATCAAATTGTAAAACAAAGAAAAAAAATTGATAATTATGTCCTAATATCCTCATCATCATAATTTTTTCTTCTTCAAAGTAAAACTGTGTGTATTTATATACAAATAGTGTTGAATACAACTAAACAAAGTACATGCCAATTAAAATGGGTTATTACTAGGAAATCAAGACCAAACACAGGTCTAGGTTTTTTGTTGTTGTTGTTGTGAATTGTTACTTATATCTAAGGGTTTGCAATAATTTATATTTTTGTGACATTATAACTTGGCAGAAAGCTTATTCGAACAGGCGAGCACAACTTGGATCGGAAGCCATACCATCCGGTTTTGCTTGTTGTTGTTTTTTTTTTAATCCGTGCCAAAATATTTCTGACCAAAGTGATTTGGTGCAACGGGATGCAGTTCAGATGTGAGTATTTTCAAACGTGGAAATGTGCTAACAACACAACTAGCAGCCAGCGGAGTGCAAAAGAGATTAGACAGAATGATACTACTTTCGGGTACACCATGTTCTTTGAGTACATTAACGGCCTAGAAAAATGTGAGTGGTGGTAATGAATAAAACAATTTCTTTCGAAAGGTTTCGACAATAACTCACCTGTAGTACTGTATTACCCGTAGACATAATGGGATACATCAACAGTATTTGTCGGCGTGCAATGTCATCGGGAAACCGTGCATACACCACACGTGCTGTATGTGTATCCGAATCAGATTCTACCAAAATTTTACCAATCCTAATCGAACGACAGCAATCGCGTAAACCCTGTTCCATAGCCTCTCCGGAGCGTATAATTGAAACGCCACAATTACCGGACTGATATTTCAGACCATCGTATATGGCACCAGTGGGTGTTTCAACGCTACAATTTGAATAGGGTAATTGATTCAAAGACTCTTCAATTACTAGACGTATTAGACGATCGGCATAGAATTTAAAATCACTTCTCGAGGTATTTCTGAAAAGGAACAGAGGGAAATAATAAGATAATACAATGGAGTTTAGAATAAAGCAAGATAGCAGTCATAATTTAGCTGATAATGATGACTCTTAAACTGTTAAATTCTGCTATGAAACTTCTGGAGTGGGTTGGGTGAGCTATCAAATGAAGTGACATTAAATCAAGATTCTTTCTTGATTGCAATAAAGCCCTCTTCCAAATATATCAATTTATTAGGCCTTGTTGGGACCCAGGATATAGCATTATATTGGAGAATGAAAATGCTGATGAATTAGCTCGAAGTGGTTCCCAATTTATTGATCTAACTATTGATGAAACTGTCAAACCACTTGTAAGCTATCAACATTGTTGCTAGAAGATGGCACTTTGATATCGGTTGGAATGGCTGTAAGGTAGCCTGTAGGTAGGTAAATTACCCGATTTGATCTAAGAATCGCGAAAGGCATACTTACTGCCCCCTACTGTATCAGATATCTGACCTCAAAATCGGATAACAGCGGTCCTAACTACAATAGACCAGATGATGAAGAGGTAGAGACACCAACCGTGCAAATATGCACTATTATGAAAAAGTGGTAGGTAAGAAATAGAAGTGCGGACATTCTTTTTAGCTCTAGATCATCTATAAGTTAGCTGAATGCAACTCCTGGCCAGACACGCCACCCTAAAGCCAACTTTTTTTTAACATTTTTACAAATCGGCCGCTCCCACAGCTTTGGATGATATTTGCAATCTGTTTTCCCCTTTTTAACTTATCAAAGACAGCTGTGTAGATGGTCTAAATATGCTGTGGGATATGATTCCTAGGACTGTGGGACTGGCTGATAATTATTTCGGCAGCCAGCTGTTTATACAATACAATTAGGGTTCAATTGATCCAGACCTCCTCTCAATATGGTATCTTTAAAATCTTGTTACAGCACAATTTTTTACTACGCAAATCAATTGAGGTTAATTTTTGAATTGTTAGCTAAATACATTCAATTTATTCAATATTGTATCTAAAATTGAACCGCAATCTAAATGATAGGTGACATCTTCCTTCATGTGAAATTCATTCGTGCATGCCTATCTTTGAGTGCCTGTGTGTGTGTGTGAACGTGTGTGTTTGTTTTGATTAAAATCAATCAATTAACCTAAATATTTTGCAGCACATTCTATCGATAGCAAAAAAAAACCCTCCCACACCTCCCCCACGGCGGCCCACACACGTCAACAATCGTACTTACTTATCTCGAATGATTGTTAACAACTCGTGAACTTGTGGATTGCACTGCAATATTTTGAAATTTGGCCCATATTCACGTAGTATTTGCTCTTGTGACGTTATTGCAGGTATGGGTAGATTATCATTGGCATTAACATTTTCCATTCCCGTGCCCATCTCCTCCGTTGATGACTGACCCGTTGTTGTTGTTTGTGGTTGTGTTGCAGTGTCATTCCCATTAGCATCACTTGCGGCATTTTCATTCTCTGTATTGGTAGCCAGATTCTCCAAAGATGCACACATTTTGTTTGTTTTGTTGTAGAAAAAAACAATGGACGATCTAAGTTGTGTTGGTTTTTTTAAACGCCTATTACGTTCTCTTAAGTACTTTATTTGACCGTCCCGTAGAGAAGATAGTGTGTTTTTGTTTTAATGCCAATTGAATTTATTTATTTACTCATGGAATTTATTAAGTACAGCAGCTGATTTAAATTGAACGTGACAAACGTGAGATGAAATGTAATGATATCGATAAACTACTGGGTCGATAACGCATGAACAAACGAAATGCGTGGGCAATCACACTGGAATGGGTACAAATTCATTGTTGGTGGATTGATAGCATCGAAGCTGAGTGATTTCTTTGCTGCGGCACAGAGAGATGTGTAATCACATTAATTTATTTTTTTAGTTTTTCCCAGAAAATGTTGACATTTTGAATAAATGTTAAGTTCAATTTTTAAGAATTGAGCATAATTCATTGCGTATCTTGAAGTGATTTTAACGGAAAAAAGTACAAAAATGTTATCCACTTTGAACATTTTATGTTTGAATTAAGCTGATATTTAGTGATTAAGGTTCGAAATATGTATTTTGTGACCTGGGTAAAAGTTCATGACATTTTCATTTGTCAATTCCATTGCGTCACAGGATTTTTCTAGGTTTTAGATTCGATGCGCATACGTCAAGCGCAAAGGAATCGACAGTTAAAATCCAGGGGATGTAATAAGTTTAAACGTCTTAATACAAGTGTCAAATTCGATATGACGTTTTGTGATTTAATTCCGTATTATAACCAACTCTTGCAAACTTTAGTATTTAAAAAAAAATTAAAAAGTGTTGACAAAAATAAGTAGATTTTTACATGTTTCCTAATACGGGAATAATTGGGGGTTTATATGATATGCATTTTTTCAACAACAAATTTTAATAATTTTTCATTCATTTTTCATTGAAAATTTTCAATTCCAAAATTGGTTTGACAGTTCATTGTCCCAGCAGCTGTGTCGATGCGACTACCTGTATTCTTCTACCATGGATATATGAAAAATAGAAATAGAATATGAATAGTAGAAGAGCTTAAAAAAACTAAAGAAATACAGCCCCGATGTGATGCCCGCTTCCTGTCAGACTCATTTAAAATTATGTTCAACAAGTTGTCTTCATTTTTCCTCATTTTCAAAATGAGTTAAATAGCGCGAAAAATGAATGAAATACCTGGATCTTCGCTCAAAAATATGATCCAAACTGTACAATCTAAACTAAACTGGTTAATAGCTTTAATGCGCGAGCCGAATTCTACGTGTCTTCCAATCATTAGTTTTGAAAATACTTTTTTTCATTTTTCAAAATGAAAACTTTGCAAAAAAATGTCATCAGCTGGTAGCTCTACCTTACCTTTTTATTGTACCATGGGTTATCGTAGTAAAAAGTTTTACATTTTTGCAGTTCTGGAATAGACTATATCATAAAGAGAAAATCCGTCATTGTAGTAAAAAAAAAAACAATGCTGCAACAGACCAAAAATTTATCTTCCAAAATAAAGGTGGGAATACATACAACGCTTATCTGACTGACTTAAGTCATCGGCTGGCTTCTTCGTAGATGAACAAAGGAGTTTTAGGTTGTCTTAGTTCGATTTTGGCCCTAGGCTCCTTTGTTCATTTCCGAAGAAGCCAGCCGATGACTTAAGCCAGTCAGATAAGCGTTGAATGTATTCCCACCTTAACTTTTAAAAAATTCACGCTCCCTTTGCTGGCATTTTGTCCGATAATATCGATGGAAAACTCTATCAATCGATTCTCTATTTTAAAAGAAAATATCAATAATATCGATATTGCCATCGACTGCGTGTCAGCTCTAAATATTATTATTTCATTTCGACGGTTGTGGAAGTGAGTTGTGTGCCGGAAAAAACGGAAAAAAATCGCAACAACGGAGACGTGTGTGAATGCTAATAAAAATTAATTTATTTTGTGTGTGGCAAATTATTGCAAAAAAAAAGAAACGAAGGCACGAGAAGAGTATATTTGCAATTTCTCCCCCTCTCATCTAGGCTAGAGGAAGCAGAATAGAGTGTAATAAGGCCAAAATAAATGAGAAATTAAAAAAAAAAAATAAAAACACAACACGAGTTATTGGTGTCAGTGTGAAAATTGTTTATATTACAGCAAATAGTTGAAATAGAGTAATTCGAATCGTTTGTGCAAACGTTTTGGCATAAGTTGAGTTTAGGGGCTGTGCTCGGATTGACTTGAAATTTATACTACAGGTAGGTATTTTTAAACTGATTACGGCAATATAAATTTTTTGTGGGGGAAATAACCGGTTACCCGGTTATTGGACCCGAAAGTTCAGATACAATGTTCGGTTTTTATCCGGTTCCACTGAACCGATACAAACAAAATGGGTATCATTGGAAAGCTTATGAAAATACCTATCCAACAAGTGGTCACATGAACCGGTTACAAGAACCGGTTCCAGAGTAATGCAAGAAAATTGATATTTTTTACCAGTACTTTTTGAAAAACCCATAAAAACTCAAAAATGGACCCATTATAAGGTATTAAAATCTACATACCGTATTATAGCCAACAATATTGCCTTTCCAAAATGGTATCATACATGTTGATATCTTTTGTAATTCCGAAGATATTGGCTTTTAAAGTTGTTACTTATGAAAGTAGTATGAGTGAAGCCAAGTTTTTAAGTTTGTTTCCTAATTTGTTCATATAGTTTGTAATTTAGCGTTATTTATTAAGAAAAAGTATAAAAAAATTGATTAAGAATAAAAGGTGTTTTAATTATAAAAGTTTAGAAAACTATGGATTGCGTAGCCGGTGTTGGACATACATCAGAGGAGAAAATCTCAAGCCCCGGCCGAAGGCCGGCTACCTACAAAGATTACAATGTTTAGAAAAATTAGCGATCGCGTAGCCGGTGTTGGACATACCCCAGAGGAGAAAATCTCAAGCCCCGGCCGAAGGCCGGCTACCTACGAAGATTACGATGTTTAGAAAAATTAGCGATCGCGTAGCCGGTGTTGGACATACCCCAGAGGAGAAAATCTCAAGCCCCGGCCGAAGGCCGGCTACCTACGAAGATTACGATGTTTAGAAAAACTAGCGATCGCGTAGCCGGTGTAGGACATACCCCAGAGGAGAAAATCTCAAGCCCCGGCCGAAGGCCGGCTACCTACAAAGATTACGATGTTAAGAAAAACTAGCGATCGCGTAGCCGGTGTTGGACATACCCCAGAGAAGAAAATCTCAAACCCCGGCCGAAGGCCGGCTGTTTAAAAATGCTATAGAGGTTAGATACATTTGACTGGAGAAAAAATTGCAAATTAATGACTTCTATCACTAATATCTTCGGAACTACAAAAGATATCAACATGTATGATACCATTTTGGAAAGGCAATATTGTTGGCTATAATACGGTATGTAGATTTTAATACCTTATAATGGGTCCATTTTTGAGTTTTTATGGGTTTTTCAAAAAGTACTGGTAAAAAATATCAATTTTCTTGCATTACTCTGGAACCGGTTCTTGTAACCGGTTCATGTGACCACTTGTTGGATAGGTATTTTCATAAGCTTTCCAATGATACCCATTTTGTTTGTATCGGTTCAGTGGAACCGGATAAAAACCGAACATTGTATCTGAACTTTCGGGTCCAATAACCGGGTAACCGGTTATTTCCCCCACAAAAAATTTATATTGCCGTAATCAGTTTAAAAATACCTACCTGTGGTAAAAATTTCAAAATGATCAGAGCACAGCCCCTAAACTCAACTTGCTCCAACGTTTTTTGCAGTCTCTTTGGGTTCTTTTTTGTACGGCGCACAAATTAGTTGCAGTTGAATCAACAAATCAAAATAGTGGCTCCAAAGTCCAATAAATCTATTAAAAATAATCATTGTCAAAATTAAAGGGTATGTAAATTTGGTGACTTTTGCATAATTTGAGTGTTTCTAACTTATATAATTGAATTATCTAAAAGAATAATAATAAAAAATCTCGGAAACAACAACAACAATCGGCCGTAGAACTTTTTTTCATTGGGGGTTTTTTTTTTTATCTGTGCTAATATGTGTGTGTGTAGGCCCCCCAAAAATCATAAGTATATGTGAACTTGTGTGTGGCTAGTAATGTTGTTTTTGTTTTGGTTTATTTTTCTGCCTGTCTGCCTATTATCGTCCCATCTCCCCCACCCCCCAAAAAACATATGTTTCGATAATGAAAGAATCAGCAAGAAGCCAAAAACCTTTTCTTATGTGGAAAATATTGTTGGTTTTTTTGTTTGTTCTTGTTGTTCGCTTTAAGCACATAATGTGACAGCAGACAACAAAAGACGAGAAATATTCTTATTAGATAATGACAGGCAGAAACGAAAAAAGTGGACTACGTGCAAATTTGAATTAGACCAACCAACATAGCCATAGTGCCGGGTTATGTAGCAGAACTTTGATATATTTTTTAATTATTTTTGTTAAATAACTTTCTAGTTCTCGATTCCAATAGGTGGCCTTTCTAGTTCATTAGGATGACTCTTATGGTAGCACCCAAGAAGGTACGGCAACGGAAGTATATGATTATGCTGATGTATGGGAAATATTTTCGCCTCCTCATGTAGATGGTCCACTGCACTGTCTAAGGTTGCAGAGATCTGTTTTCAACGTCGATTAACCTTTCAAGTAATTTTTGTTTTAATAATAGGCATGTAGTCTTCTGAAAGTAAATGACTTGGTTTCCCAGCTTTGGGAACGTAAGTGACTCTGACTTTCCACCTCATATCCTCAGCCATAAAGAGCCGACTACGCTGTTCGAACTGTCGATCGGTTCTCGCATCTGTTTGCAAAATGAGTGCTGGCTAACAGATTGAGAGTTTCTAGATGGGACAGTTCACGTACATTCCTCCCTCTTTATGCTTCCAATGGATTTAGAATGCTTTGAAAGGATTTTGCGGACATTTTCTATGGACTCAGAGAAGCAGACTCATGATTTTGGTTTAGTCTTCTTGATCTTACTGTTGTACTTGTTGGAGGCAGATTTATAGGCTACCTAGTACGTACATTGTTTGGTCTTGTTGGCCCTGTCGTATAATAGTCGGTTGCTTCTGCGAACAGTGTTTGAATAGAACTGGGTTCTCATATTACAAATTCAGCTTAAAAGTAGACCCCTCGGTCCTTTTAGTATCTTTGACGAAAGCAAAATTGTGTCATATCCCCCATAGAACAGAACCTAAGACTTTAGGAATGTTTCAACTGTCAAATGCAATTGGGAACCCAATAAGCCGTTGTTTTTGGCGAATCTGGATCCCAGAAAGTAGCACGCATAGAAATTTCTATATACATTCATAGGTACCTTGTCCTGAATTCTCCACTGAGCATACGGCTCAATAATAATTGTTTTAAAGGACCTAGCTGGATTTTTCTTTGCCGAAGTGCCTGCAATAGTACCCTTTAACGGATAATGGAGGGTATATAAAATATGTAATTCTGGAGAACAGTGTTATAAAAATTAACTCTCATTTAAATTGTTATGCCATTTTTTTGCAACATTTATCAGCCGATTTGTGTATTTTCTATGTTAAGAAAACACATTTGCCTTACTTCCCCAATAATATCAATATTTAATAAAAAAAAACACAAGCTTAATCTCCAGCTTGTGTTGATTCAAAACAAATTCCAAAACTTGTCGTTTATTCGTTCCCTTATCAAATAATAGGGCAACCACAGAGGCAGTTCTTTTGTATTTTGATAACGAAAAAGAGAGGAGAGGCAAAATTATTAAGCTGCTTCTACGTGACTTTTTTTTTTGTACAAAACCAACTTGTTTTTACCGGCAAACAATTTGTAAACAAACAACTTTTGATTGTCAGCAACGTCATGTTCATCACACATACAAAATAACCAGCTGTCTGTGTGGATTTGTTTGTAAACTCAAACCTCCAACTTGCTCGAACATAATGTAAGCGAAAAAATAAAAAAAAGTAATTTTCTCGTTATTGTAAATCAAGTGTCATGGCTTAAATATAACAACGCATTTAATTTGTTGTTATTCATATGGAGTGCTCAAACACAAACACACGTTTTGCATATGTATTAACAACAAAAATATCAATTGATAGAAATAGAATAGTTTTGAAGGTGAATTCCAGTCTAAAAATAAAACATCTCTGAAGCCGTATATGAATGGCAAAAATAAAACAACAATTGATTAGGTTTCATCTCGTTTTGACGATTCGAAAGAGAGAGAGAGAGAGAGTGGGGAGATTATACAGAGTGTTAATATTGAGTTGTTCTAGTTAGGGTGAAATGCTTTCACAATCGCATCAGATGTGTTTTTTTCTTTTGAAATATATGTACGATTAGAAGATGAAATTAGAATGTTATGGAACAAGTTGGAAAGTGTTAGTAGATGTGGCGATATATAGGGTGACATAAAAAAAACTGCAACAAAGTCAAAGGCCATCCATCCAACCCCATCCATCAAACATTTCACACCCAAAACAAAGTCAAACAAAAAAAAAAAAACGACGAAACTATTCAGTGTTTTGTATTGTATTAACAAATAGGCGATGTTTGTTCATAGGTGTGTACATAAATAGGTAGGTAGGTATTGGACATATGTTTATTCTTTACTTCTTTCTACTTTTTGCGAATTGATAATCGAGAGCCTGTCTAAGGGTGCAGAGGAAAATTTTTTTGAATAAACTTATACTACTTTTTTTTTTGGTATATAAATACAGGGTGAGATAAAAAACTGCAACAAATTTAAACGCCATAATTTTTAATTTTTTTTTTTGTAATTTTATTGGCTGAAAGCAAAAAATGTCGGAAATAGCATCAAATTTTAGAATAAGTTTAGATTTGTTCGAATTGGTCACTTTTGGCACGAATTATGACCTTCAAACGGCCAATGAAACCGTCACACGCTGCCCGAATGTTGCTCTGCGGTATTTTGGCCAATTTCTGGCGAAGCGCTTGCTTGAGGTGACCAAAATACTCCAGACAAAATAGTGAAACGGATTGGTATGTGGAAATTTTGGTGGCCATTGGGCGCTGGAAATGAATCGTGGAACCTCATTTTGTAACCAATCATGGGTGGCGCGTGCTAAGTCCTGTTGGAATGTCCAAGGTTTGCGGCCAAAATGTTTGTGTGCCAAAGGCTTTAATTCACCCTCCAGCTACATTATTCACCGGAAATGTTTCAAATTTGATATTTAGACTTCGTAATGGATACAACGGGCTATAACAGAAAATTGTCCGTGCACGTCCACGCCTTTGTATAGCCCCCATATAACGGTACCTCCCTATTTTCGGTATTTTGATGTTTTTGGCGACATTATTCACCGGAATTGTTTCAAACTTGATATTTAAAGTTCGTAAAAGATACTACAGCTTACGACAGAAAATGGGTCATGTGGGTCCACGTTTTCGTATAGCCCCCATATAACGGTACCCCCCGATATTCGGTATTTTGATGATTTTAGAGATATTATTTACCCAAACTTTTTTAAATTTGGTATTTGGTAGACGGGTCCACGTCTTCGTATAGCCCTAGTATAACGGTACCCCCCGATATTCGGTATTTTGATGATTTTAGTGACATTATTTACCGGAATTGTCTCAAATTTGGTACTTGAAGTTCTTAATGGATACTACATCGTAAGACAGAATATGAGCCATGTTGGTCCACGTCTTTGTATAGCCCCAATATAACTGTACCTCCCGATATTCGGTATTTTGATGATTTTAGAGACATTATTTACCGGAATTGTTTCAAATTTCGCATTTGAAGTTGGTAATGGATACTACAGCCTATGCCAGAAAATTGTCTGTGCGGGTCCACGTTTTATAACCCCCATGGTACCTCCCTATATTCGGAATTTTAATGATTTTAGCTACATTATAAACAGTTTTTTTTCAAGTTTCGCATTTGAATATTGTAATAGCTTGTGACAAAAGTTGCCTATGCAGGTCTACGTCGTCTTATAGACCCTAATATACATTACATTCGGTATTTTTAAGATTTTAACAGAATTTTTAACGGATATTATTTTTTTGAAAATTGCCAAATTTTTACCAATTGGTGGAGGGTATTCAAAGTTCGGCCTGGCCGAACTTACAGTTTTTTTACTTCATAATTTTCACATTACAATTTCTTGAAATAGTCGCATATTATGTATATAGTATCTTCGGCAAGATTACAGCTAACAATACAAAGACTATTGTGCCTTTTTGGCCTTTTTTCAAAATGTGGTTAAATATCGTCATCGTACCAAATCGATTGGAAATTAAAACAAAAATCAAGAGGTATCATTATAAAGTGAGATTTTTGAAGAGTTATATGAAAGTTTTTCAAAAGTAAACACATAAAATTGGAATGGAATTCCGCATCGTTTTCATGCATTTCAAGAAGTCATAAAATAAATTGTTTAAGGTCAAGCAGCTTGAGTTCTTGCGTTAACTGAACTTTTTTAGCTCTAAAACTAATGTCTTTGTTAAACATGGTGTAATGACGAAATTCTAAATAACAAACCTTGGCTTTCTTTTTGAATACAACAGCAATATTCTCAGTTATTCTTGAGTAGAATCCATGGGTTGGATTGTTTCTTCACATCGCTAATCTTTCCAAAGATCTTGAAATTTTCCACAAATTTCTGTTTTGATGTCCGACAAGGTGCTTCACGACAATTCAAAATTGTGTTTTGCGAACTGAGGCTTATCTTGCAGCCTCATTTTTGTGGAAGAAAATTGCAGACGGCTAATTACTGTAACTATATCTTTCGATTTAACATATTTTTTTAAGAACTTAAAGCTTTCTCAGTATTGAACATATAATCAATTCATTAAGATTGACCTACATTTTTGTTAATACATGTGTATTTAAAAACATTTTTTAAATGTTTTTAATGCATAAATTATAA